ATTTACATTTGATATATTTATAAACATGTGAAGTTGAAAATGTATACAACACTAGCAAATAACAAAGAAAATAATTTTTTTTTTGCCGGCCAACATTTGGAATGTTGTAAAAGCAGTGATATTTTTTATAGTGACTTTCAATAATGACTAGTGAAGTGTCACAGTATATCGTAAACTATGTAGCTTGGAAAGTTAAATTTGTTGTGAATAATGAGCAAAACTAATTTCAGTTGTGGGGCACAACATTCTGAGCCCTGCCAACCACAGGTGGAACGCATCAAAGTCAAAATCTTCCAAAAATGGTACGAACTCAGAAGTATGGTATATTGTGTCTGCTATTGCAGCATCTTTGGATTCCTTTGCAAAATTCTTTTGTTACCCAAAGTGGCAGTTCTCAAATTTTCTGTAAACAAACAAATTTATTTTCTGACACGTGAGACTCGTATCAAACACACTGTCATGTGATGACTGTATATTAATAGATCCTGCATTATTTTCTATAATCTTGTATTCTTCTTCACTTTATACCGGTAGTCTGATTTAGGGTAGTTATTTTTTTCAACACCATCACGTATGGTCTTGATTTGACCAGCTAGGTACCCAGTAGTTGACAGATTATATTATTCTGATATTGTTTACTTTTAGCTACAACTAATGAACTCTATGGAACCTGGTGTGATTCAATTCCAAGTGGAATCATTGCAATGTAGAGTCAGTTTACATCCAAACACACTGCTAACGCTGCACCTCAAATTAACCCCCAAACCAGGTGAGTAAAACAGTCAGCACTTCACATGTGGATACCATTAAATGCTTTTGAAATTCTATTTAAACATTGTTAATAATGCTGATGTATTTCTCAGATTTGTTGTCTGGAATTTGTCAAATCACTAAAATTATTTGTATTGCCTTAAAATTACATTCACACTATGCACATATATTATTTATGACTCAACTACAATTTATGGTGCATATATTGGTCAAGGATTGGTACCTCAAAAATGTGCATCGTGTAATTGTGACATTGATTGTTTTATTTGTGTTTTAGACACCAAGGAGAGTTGGACTGATGAGGAGTTACAAGTCTTGGAAAGGTTTTTTGAGATCAAGGTATGCAAGATTCTGATATCCTGTGCATTTATTCTCCTTTTGAAAAGTATAATAACTTGTAAGTGTCCCTACCACAGATACATCATCATTTTTGGTCACATTGGGGCACAAAAAGTTAAAAAATATCACCACATTGTATTTGAAATTCTGAAGAAGAAAAGAAATTGAAGTATTCAAACCTCAGTTGTAATCAAAAATGGCAAAATTGCATTGTTTCCATGGAAGCAAGCTTGCTTTTTGTCATTTATAAAATGGAACCATTTACTAAATAGTAAGAATTTGTAAAGCTTTTAAAATTTTCAGTCAAAAAAGTAGGTGGCTAATTTGTATTTATTTACACTCAACAGCTGCTTTACACGGAATTACTGTTGATGTAGTGTACCGGTAATTTAATTATCACATACTTTTTTCCTGGCATTAGGTTGTGTCACCACCATTTAAAGCAAATGCTTTGACAGGATTTGGTAGACTTCTGGGTGCACCGACAGTGATCTTAAAAGACTGTGGACACATCATGAGACTAGAATTGGTAAGCTGCTGCAAAACAATTAGTCTTCAGTTTTTGATGTCAAAATTTAACAACACATGGTCTATTTTTGTGACTCGCACTATTTTAACTTTCTTTCCCAATAGTTTGCAGACAGATCCTTGAAATGGACAGTACAGTGGTGTCTGACAATCCCTCCCAGTGCTCCAATTATAGCACCACCTGGAACCCCTGCTGTGGTCATTAAAAATAAGGCACTGTTTTTCGTAAGTATTTCCAACTTCTATCCATCACATATAAAAGATATCTAAAAAAGGGAAAACACAATCTTAGTTGACTGCGAAAAATAACTTGATGTTTCTCAAGCAGTCAATGATATATCACACCAGAAGACATTAAAACAGAGTATCAATTTCTTTCTAATGATGATTGACTTATGTTTTGTGTTTAACAATTTGTTTCCATTATAGCTTCAACTAACTCGTATTGGTTTGAATATACCAAGTGGATTGGAGCCACAGACGATTGTTATCCCAATTATCTATGACATGCAAACCAACACCACCCAGCAAGCTGAAGTGCAACGTGCATCACCCCTGTCACCTGTCGCTACGGCCGTTAGTAATATGTTACGGCGATGGAATGAGATGAATCCACATACAGGTAAGTTTCGATAGTGGTGGTGTGACAGAATATTGTAACTTTTTTGTACCGATCACTGCTAGCTTAGTGGTTGTCGCTTCAGACTCATGACCTGTAGACCCATGTTCAAATCCTATCTTAGGCTGAATATCAAGGGTCATCCCCTACCCTGGGTGAATGTGCCACAGACTCAATGGGAAGGCCAATTCCACTGGCTGAGATTCATTCACAAACGAATGCGACTTTAGGGGAACCTTGGTTAAGGTCCGCAGGTGCTTGTGTTCGGCCAAGCTTGGTTGACGCCAGAATAGCGCATTAAAATTGCCATTTGACAGAGAGATGACCACACAGCCCTGTCATGTAGTCCCAAACATGAATATGACTTCTGTGGCAAAAATGCACTATGTGTCAGCACTAGCAATTTGCACATACAAAAAAAAAGAAAAAGTCAGGAGACAATAGTGACACTCAATGTCCAGAACTGTCGCCTGGCAGAAAAATATTTAGAAAAATAAATAAAAAAAAAGTTTTTTTTTATGTGCCACGTGTTATAGATGCATATACCAAGGATGTGGTTTGTTGTCTGCGTCAATTACCATATGATTGACTCTTGTACGGTATCAATATTGATAACTTGTATTTTGTACATACGTTAGATCACATCTGATTTGACGTGTAAACGATACATTCATGAGTGGTTCTTGTTGCCATGAGTAGCAGTAACCTGAAATCCCAACAATAACATGTGCTGTTTTTGTTTCCAGGTGATTGCACAATATATGCTGCTGTGCGAGAAGTCATGGCTAACTTAGTTGTTCCACACTGAATCATTTGACTGATACTGAACCAGGCATCCATATACTCACATTCCACTGTAAATCTGATTTTCTTGACCATTGTTTTTAACTGATCGTAAAACAACCTATTGTTTGTAAATATAATGTTCCACTGCCAAACAAATAATTTCATGGTGGAAGTATAATGAATATTTACTTTTCAATTTTAATCAGAATATCTTGCATGGTTTCTCATTCACCTTGTTCACATAGCAGCATTTTATTGGAGCCCAACAGTGCATACTTGACTCTAATAAACCCTCGGGGTTGAGCCCTGACATGACCTGATCATCTAAATGGACTGCTTCTGTTGAGCACCGGAGATAATCTCCTATGGTAGAAGTAAAGACTCAGCTTTGATAAACTGCTGCTTATTGAAAGACATGTACACTTATTTGATTTATTTACACTTCTTCAAATCAGCTGTAATGGTGAAATAAATAGTTGCCACAATCATATTTTGTAATTAGAAGAAAACATGCCTTATATGGAATATTTATATGTGCTTTACACAATGTTGATGTGGCCAATGAATGGTAGTAAGTTTTTGATATAAATGTTTTATTGAGAACAATATTTGCTTACTGCGACAAATGCAAGAATTGTGAAATTAAATATGGAATTTTTTTCTCAAGAATCATCTGTGTTTATTTCAGTCATTATTCAAATGATGAATAAACAAGTTATTAACTGTGAGTTGGAAATGTAGTATGGAGTGATGGTGATAAAGTTTGGTACCATAAAAGAAACTGGTCATTGTATTATTACCAGTTTGAAGAAATGGAGATCGATATGGCCAGTCAGGACAAGATTTTTAAAACTGAAAATAGAAAGTAAGCTACGCAATGTTGCAGATGTAATGGCCCAGGTAGTTCAGAACCCAACAATACACTTGTCCATTATATCGTGTGTGGGGGGATATTAACAATAAAATTCACATCAATTCAATAGATATCTAAACCCATAGACCGTACAGTATTAGAGGGGTCTGTGCTTCACCAAATGAACAAATTCCGTCCATGTGTCTACATTATGAATGTCAAAGCAATCTGGTAGGTGGTTTTGGAGAAGTCAAAATGAGTAAAAAAAACACTTGCATATGGTCTCATGAAATTAGAGTAAATTACCTGTCAAGAACAATCTGACAAGCAGTTGTTGAAAAAATCATTTTTGATTAGAGATTTGGATGTGACGTCAAAAAACTGTTCCATGGGCCTTAGCTCCAAATTGACCATTTAACTACCGTCAGCTTGTATATATTATTCAGTCTGCTAACCCCAGATAGTGGATGTTTTTTTTTTTGCCAGGAAAGTATTCTTTTGTTAGTTTCTTTGTCTTCAACAATACACATTTACTAGGAGAGTACTAGCTGTTCTCGCATGACTCAAGTGAAGGGCAAAAAGTTCCCCTCACTATTAAAGAATGGTACATTTTTTAAGCATCAAACATCACCTATAGTAATACTCTCCAAATTCGCAGTATTAAATTAAAGAATGGTAGTTAACATCCAGGGCTGAGAATGACGTACTACAATTTAGAACCGAGCAGACCCCCATACAGGCAGTTAACTACCATTAGCAACATTCTTAGAGAAATGAGCAGTATAACTGAATTCAACATCAAAATGTTTGGTACAGCAATGATCTAATACAGTGGATCAGTATAGTCAGTTTTAAAAAGCCAAGAGTTTGAAATTCTGACTTGTACCACTACGAAAATGATTCAGCAAGCACACTGAGCAACTAAGGTTATTTAACATAAATACAAAATGTTTATTGTCCTCTCTGTCATTATAATGAGTGGTTGGTTTGAACTTCATCAATAGTTGAGGAATGCCCACGGCTACCTTCACTATGATTAGCCTGGAATGCAGTTATTCAGAGTCCTCTTTCCCATGTGCTCAAGGATCTCTTCGTAAATACATAATATACTGAGAATTATTACAGCAAAATTCAATAACCTGTTTGTGTATTCTAATATTAATATGTATCATTTTGAAAAAAAATGTTTACTCTCGTCTAAAATGATTTAAACAATAAAGAATGACCACAAAAATAACTTAGCAATTTTATTCAATATCAGGATTAAGTAGAATTTGAATGTCATCGGATGTCGTCACCTATTTTTCCCACCATATCTTCGTTTGAAGTACGTTGGAGCTGCCTCGTAAAGCCATTCTGGGTCAACTACGCAAATATTCCTAGGGAAGAGATGAGAAAATTTCTTTTTAGTCATGTCCACTTTATTCAAAGTAAAACATTTATTTTATATTACAAATGCACACAATAATATATAGCACATGGTTCTCTTTAAAATTTGCCTCGTTGAACATTTCGACATATTCTCAAGTTTATTATATAGTACATGGTTCACTTTAACACTCACCGCATATAACATTTAGTCGTATACACAAGTTCATTATATAGTACGTATGCAGGTTTACATTGGAATAAACATGATGATGGGTGGATTGACACTGATTGTCTCCTATCGAGCTAAAAAATAACAAAAATAGCCAGTAATTAAAGAAGAAGTCATAACTTCACCAGTAATGTTGAAACAAATTTTTAATGAATTTTTAGATAAACTTACCGTAACATACTCTCCTTCTCTTTGTAACTCTGCAGTGTTCATAAACTGTCCACTACTTATACACTTCCTGCGAATAACAAAAAATGTAATTTTCAATTGAATTTAAAAATAAATCTTTTGCAAACCCAAACATAGATAACAATGTTAATTTACACATTAAGTCCAATACCTTCAATTTTAAACAAATTTAAAAGAGTACTGTAAATCTGTATTAGAAACCGTGACTTCTATTAAAATGGTACAATGCAACAGAGGGGATGTGGTTTCTATTAGAGCATCTACACATATGAAAAATGATGAATTTTTGGATCTCAGTTATTCAAAAAGACTAGGTGCGACTATTAGGGATGCGGCTTCCAGTACAGATTTTACGGTAGTTTACACATACATATGTACACATGACAAATTTTTATATATGAATAGTTTTTTCGGAACCAAAAAAAACAACCAGCAAGCTAAGAAAGTGGACCTTGTATATAATACCTTATTGCACTTGTATCTGGTCCACATGACTGTATTGGTAAGCCTGCCCTTACACACATCTCACGTAGCTGATGCCGAATATCAAGAGCATTACGCATATGACGCATATTGATGAAATTCTCAAAACACCATTGCTGTGAATAACACAAAAAACAAGTATAAGCGAAAGCATTCAGCAGGAGAAGATTGTTAAGTTGTGTTGAAGAACAAATGTCAATGAAAGCAACCAGCTGTAGAGGATTGTCAAGTTGTGTGTGAGAAATCCAAGGGGTAATAATCAGACAAAGATGTTAATATCTGACCTTGTTTCCTTTTACCGCTTTGTACGCTCTGTAAATATTGAGTAGCATAATATGATCACCATCACTGGAGGTAAACTTCTTACGAGCAGCGTGAGCATCTTCTCTCTGAGGGAGAACAAAGACAAATGATATATAAATTGCAAGGTATTGTTATATTGTAAGAAGATTACTTTCAGATACACTTGTTGAGTGTGGATCTAGGAGTCCAACTCAACAAGAAGGTGCAAATAGCATACAATTTGTGAGTCCCACTCAACAAAAGTATGCTTTGCATAACATCTAATAGAGAGCTGCTTTAATACATGTGTGTGGAAAGGGTTTGTAAAACTAAGACTGGAAATACACATAACACATAAGTAATATAGCAATATGTCATGACATTAGTTCAATAGTAAACATAACTGAATTTTTTTTAATCAGAATATGAAATAAATGACATGATGTATAATGTATAGTTGTAATGTTTGAGTGTGATCAGTCAAAGATATAGCTCTGAAACCACATATAATAAAACAAAAAGGCCGCCAGTTGGCAATTTTGAATCTGATCTGAAAAACAAAATGACATGCATCAAGATCCCATTATATCCAATGTATGTGCCAAGTTTGAACAAAATCCATTAATACACAAGCAAGATCTAATTCTGAAATCACAGATTCTGAAATGTTTGATTTTGATGAATTTTTAACATTAAGAGGACCATCATTTGCTATCTTGAATCAAATTGTTGAACAAATTAACATGTCTCCCAAAATGTATGATATACGTGTGAAGTTTAAATACGATCAACCCAGGCATATCCAATATACAAGTGGAGACAGATTGACAGAGGTCAATCCAAAAGTCCGCGTTTTCAGACTGCATCTGAGTAGGTGTTAACTAGACAGGCCAAGGTACGACTGTGAATCACAGCCAATAATGGATGCCATATTAAATTTGAATGGATCGCATAATGCATGCACATCAGGATGGAAATTTAAGACAAAAAATGTACTATTTATTGAATACAATACTTGAGTTCACAGATTGCAGGTTAGATTTTTCTGTGTGATTTTTCTGGTCTTTATGTTGGCAAGTATATTTACCTTATTGTGTGGTGTAAATAATACGGATTCCACTGACAGCAATGACACAATAGTCAATATCTCTTCCCTGTGAAGAGGAAACAAATAATTAGATTAGGGAAGAGAAAAAAAATGTGTCAGATCACAGTGAAACAAACAAACAAGTTGAAATCGGTTTATCAGGGCAGTACAAAAAAACAACCAATCAGAGTTCAGGTAATATACCTACCCATAGATCAGGTACTTAAAACGACTCACCATACAAACAATCAGAGTTCAGGTAATATACCTACCCATAGATCAGGTACTTAAAACGACTCACCATACAAACAATCAGAGTTCAGGTAATATACCTACCCATAGATCAGGTACTTAAAACGACTCACCATACAAACAATCAATCAGAGAAAGGGCCATTACAAAACAATCACATAGAGCTTATTTACACTGAATATGATACAATACTCTTGGTAAGTATATGCCATTGCATTGTGATGTCATTGTTTACATTTTACGCAAACCAGCATGTGAATACTAGTATCCAAATGTCACTCATTGATCAGCATTGCTCGCAATCTGCTGTGACAATGTTGCCAACAAGTTGTTCAATTAACAGAACACATACATGAATGTTTATTAACAACAGCAGCGAACAAAGCCATTATTTTATCTTTGAGTGCTGACTGGTTCTTGTCAATGTAAACAAGCGTGATGCCCTATTGCTGTTGTAAATACAACATATCAATATGTCAAATCCAAAGCCATTCTTCATAAATATCACTAGTGATATCACACATTGTATAAGTAGCATGGAACCCACGTCACAAAGTACAATGACAGTGACAATAATAAGTAAAATTGAAAGTGCAATTATATGATACATTGTGAGAGAATACTTACAGACAGTTATACTCCTTCGCCATGAGAATTACTTTAGACAGTCTCGGTTCCAGGGGAAATATAGCCATCTTTTTCCCAAGTGATGTTAACTGATAAGATAAAAAATGCAAAAACTCACTAATTAAATAACAAATTTATAACATTTGGACATGCGCACACTGGAGAATTATACTAATGATAAAATTACCATTAAATTTAGCTTAGCCGTAAATTAAAATGTTAAAATACATTTAATACCTGAACTTTGTCTTTCTTCTCAACGGCGGCAAGTAAATTTAACTGATCAACTGCATTGATAATAGACTGTAAAATATAAATGCTTGTAGAGGTTAATCATGGTAATATGAAAAGATTATTATATAATATTACAATATGAAATTCAATACAGCTTCTTACAAAATTTAAATTAAAATAAAGAAATATGAAAAAAAAAAATTTTGTCTTTGAAAAATGACTACAATATCTAAAATTTTAGTTTTTTAAATAATTCACAAACATTACTGTTACCAGAAGTAATTCCTGTCTATATAGAGCTGCATGGACGAATTCATTGATATAACATTTTCTATACTTTTCTATTACTCAATTCAAAAGTATTCACAATTATTAAACTTGCATAATTTTATTCCATATTTTTTCAAAGATTCTGATCAATAGCTATAGAAAATAGGAAATTATGTGCATTTTGTTTAAAACTAATAAAGAAATTATAGAAAAATACATAAAAATGGGGGTGGGAAAAATATCGCACTCAAATGGTTAAGGAACAAAATGAAACCACATCCAGGTTCTCAACTATAAAATTCTTAGTTGTTTGGTTCCAAAGTACAGCTTTGTTGCCATTCTTGCAATTAAAAAAAATAGAAGTATTAAAGAGTGTTTTATACTCACTTCTGCTGATGGTTTATCCATGAAGTCAAAGCGTAAAATATTTGGAATTCCCAGCGCAAGTAATTGTAGTACAACGCTAGACAGATTGCACCTATAATTATAAAATAATTTGTCTTATAATCTATCCATTAATTGGACATTGTATAAAGAATATCTTTTTAGGTTTTTTAGCTAAATTGCTAGAAAAAAAAAGGTTATTGTGGAAGAATCATAGCGACATCAATGGAGGTACAAAAAAATGTATAGTGAATGTGCATGATATGAACAAAAAAGCGCAGAAAAACTCAAAGGTGTTGAAATGCTTGAGCAAATGAGTCCAACTATTTGGAAAGATAAACTAATAGAGGGGTTCAACTAATAATGGAATAACATTAATTAATTAATTGAACAAGATTATATATTGATATATATTGATAAACACAATACATCTTTTAAAATAATTTCTATTTCACAATTATCAAAAAAAAAAAAAGATTATATATTAGTAGGCCAATTATTTCATTAATCAGAACATGCAACATGTACATAGGCAAATTCCAGACACATTTCAAAGTTTTAATTCATACCTCTGTATTTCGGGAATTGTATTCTCCCTTAACTCTTGAAATTGGTTTTCTGTGTATAGCCGCCAACATGTACCGCTACAATGAATTTAACAAAATGTTTTATTAGCATGGCCAGTGCATGTACTGTGATTTCTCCGTCTAGTCATGTGTATACATGCAAGTGAGTAGAACAAAGTGTAAAATACGGTAACCATGGTAATTTGTTTTCTTAACAGTTTGAGTGAGTTTTATATG